CTCTGGGCAGCCTGTCCCAGGGCTCGGTCACCCGCAGAGGGACGAAGTTTTTCCTCACATTCAGGTGGAACTTCCCGTGTTCCAGTTTGTGCCCGTTGCCCCTTGTCCTGTCACTGGGCACCACTGAGAAGAGTCTGGCCCCTTCCTCTAGACACCCATCCTTTAGATAGTGATAAGCGTTGATGAGATCCCCTCTCAGCCTTCTCTTCTCCAGACTAACCAGCCCAGCTCTCTCAGCCTGTCCTCATGAGGGACGCTCCAGGCCCCTCCTCATCCATGGGCTCTGCCATTCAACTGGTTCTCAACCCACCTCACTGTCCACTCATCCAACCCCCTCTTCCTAGGCTTGCCTATGAGGATGTTATGGGAGACGGTGTCAAAAGCCTCCCTGAAGCCAAGGTAGACAACATCCACTGCGCTCCCATCATCCACCCAGCTGGTCATGCCATCATAGAAGGCCATCAGATTGGTCAGACGTGATTCCCCCTTGGTGAATCCATGTTGACCACTCCCAATAACCTTCTCCTCCACATGCTCACTGATGACCCCCCGAGTGAACTGTTCCATCACCTGTCCAGGGATGGGGCTGAGGCTGACTGGCCTGCAGTTTCCTGGGTCCTCCTCCTTGCTGTTTTTGAAGACCAGAGTGACACTGGCTTTCCTCCGGTCCTCAGACACCTCTCCTGTTCTCCATCACCCTGGTTTGCTGCTTGATTTCCCTAAAAAACACAACATAGTGCCCCAAAACTTGTGAAAGTTGGTGAAACATCCACTTGAAGTTGGGTTTAGCACTGCCACAAAATCTCCTTGCTGCTTTGGAAGGGGCACAGTTGGGGGAAAGGGTACGCGGGCAGGCGAGAGCTTTTTGGGCAAAAACACGGTCCTGGTCTACAACCATTCAATGTTTGCAGAGCAGGAGTGCGTTTGAATCCAAGAAAGTCATTAAACAGAGCGAAAGCTCAAGCCAAGGGTACCCTCAAGCGTCCCCTATAGGAAATTGCAGCGCCGCTGCCTACCTTACAGTTTGCAGGAGTTGCCGTCCCACCCCTTGAGCACACACGGGATGTTTTGAGATAAATCAGTTTTACAAACCAACATGGGAGCAATGTAGATATGAGTGGGGCTCGTTCTAGGAGAAGCCACTTCTCTGTAGCTGAGGATCCCAGGAAAACCTAGTTTTCCTCTTCTTCCCTCTGTATCACAGAGATCCAATCTCAGCTTCGCATGGCGACACACGGCGAAGGGGGTTTCACCGTCTTCGTAGGTCTTAATGGCTCAAAGGAAGAGCTGGGGCTGGAGCCCACCAACTACTTCATGTACCGAGGAAACGATCTAGATGAAATGTAGGTTTGGCTTCACTTTAGATGTGCTTCGTTAAACATAAGGAGATGAATTCCTGGGTGGTGACTCGGAAAACGCTCTTGGCAGATCCTCACTACATGGGGATTTGGACGTAGCGAGTATTCACAGAAAGGTTTGCATCAAAACCCACCTCAAACCCTCATATCTCTCTGCAGAATGAATCACTACCTGGCTTCTTCCAGAGAAGAAGCTGCCAAGAACATCCCTCTTCTGTTTGTCACCTGCCCGTCAGCCAAGGACCCCACCTGGGAAATGAGGCACCCAGGTAAAGGCTGAAACCCAACACAGACGTTTGGGAGCACCCTGAAAACTCTTGGTGGGTTTCGGTTTGTTTGATGACTGCAAACAAAGAGTTTCTCCCAAAATAGCCGTGGTCAAAGCTGCTGAGCAGGTTGCTCATGGAAAGTGGTCTTCAAGATCACTGGGTGAAGGATATGGGACCACAAAGACCTGGGGCCATCCCAGGTGTTTGCAGGGGGAGGGCTGGGTTTGTGGCAGCGAAATGGTGGCATGAGGGCAGCCTCAACCTTGTCCTGCTGCAGGTAAATCCACGCTGGCCATTGTCACCTTCGCCAAATACGAGTGGTTTGAGGAGTGGAAGGACAAGCAGGTCAATAAGCGGGGAGATGATTACGAGGAGCTGAAGATGACTTTCGTGGATAACATCATGCAGGCTGTCTTCAAGCTCTACCCTCGTATAGAGGACAGGGTGAGGAAACTTGGGGTCCTCCAGCTCCTCTCCTGGCTCCTGTCCACCCAGCCCTGTCCTGCAAACATAGGAGCTGGGGCTGGGTCAGCTGGACATGAGGTCCAGCTGGGCAGTATGGCACCAACCCATTGCCACTGCCTCCCGACCGCACATGATGCAACAAGAGGATGATGGTCCTCCAGGACCATCCCGGGACCAAACTTGGCCAGAACCACCACCCAAGGGTCTGCAAGAAAACCTGTCCTGGCCCCCACCCCACAAAAACAGCTTTCTACAGCATGAGATGCCCCACGCCACTGTGCCTACCCCACGTTGTCCTCTCCTCCCCTGCAGATCGAGTACATCTCCGGAGGAACGCCCCTCACCAACCAGCACTACATCGCCAGCCCCAAGGGGGAGATCTACGGCATCGACCACGGCATCACCCGCCTGCAACCCGAAGCCATTGCCGCCATTAGGGCACAGACCGCCGTCCCCAACCTCTACCTGACAGGTACCGCGGCCACCAGCCAGGCACCAGGTTCTCAGATGAGGACACCTCTGGGGAAGGAGGATATGGGGGGGGGGGAACAAACACCCTTCGATCCTGCAGTGATGCGTCGCGGTGTGATAGAGGAGCTGCTGGAGCACGTCAAAGTGGAGTTGCGTGGTCCCAACAGGAGGAGGAAAGGGTCGTGCCTCCTCCAGCTCCTGGACGTGGTGTCCCTGCCCAGTGCCCATTTATTTTAGCTGGGCAGGATGAGGCCCTTTCCCTGCTGGGGAGGGAGATGGGGTCAAAAAGGGAGAGGTGGTGTGGGTTCAAAGCCATGGGCTGGTGTGGGGGAAGGCGGTCGGGGATGGTGATGCCCCGTGGGGGACGGAGAGCACGGGCTGCTCAGCAGGGACCACGGCCGCTGCCATCGCCACCTCCCGCTCTCTTCCAGGGCAGGATTTGTGCATGGGAGGCTTCATGGGAGCCCTGCAAGGAGCCCTCATCTGTGCCAGCGCCGTCCTCAAGCGCAACCTCTACATTGACGTGGCACAGCTGAAAAAGCGCACACAGGCCACCAACACCAAGAAGGGAGACTAACGCCTGCTGTCCCACCGGGCAGGACCCCCCTTCCCCTCCCAGCCCACCAGATCACCGCGGTACCTTATTTTCTGCTGTAAAACACCCGTAGTTCATCCTTCTCTAACGCAAAGCCAAAGGTCACAGCCCAGGAAAACGCCATTCCCAGTTTCCAGCCAGCTTGCCTTGGACCTTACCCACCTAGAGCTCACCTCCTCCCACCACAACATCCACCGCTGATCCCCGGCCACCCCTTTTGAGGGCAAAACCCTTCTCCCAGCATAGGGAAGAGGGGCTCCAAGAGAGAGGAGTCAAGGCAATCCCAAAAACCAGGCTGCACCAGAGCGCACAAAACCCAACAGCTTCCACCAGCAACACGTGGGGTCGCTTGATCCCCCACTGGCATCCGACAGCCGCCTGGACCATCGGATGAGCATCAACCTTCACCTGCATCGCCCAGACCCACTGGGTCAAGGGGAGCGAGCCCCACGGGGACGCTTTTCCCTTTTCAGACGGCAACTTTGGCACCAAGTTGGGCTCACAAAGCTTCAGCGGGCTCGTAAAGCTCCGCACGGGACTTGGCAGCCCTGGGGGTGACAGAGGCAGCAGCTCCTCTCCGAGATGGGACCGTGCACGGGCTTGTCCGGGCAGCGTCAGGCAGGTTTTGTAAAGCCCCACCAGCCACTGGACGGGCACCGGCTGCGTTTAAGCAAGAGGAAATCATGCCAAGCTAAGCCCCGTTGCTGCATTTTAATGAAGACGCCCAGGAAAGGCTCATGGACACTGGCCTTTGGGAAAGAGCCGGCTCCTGGCTCAAACGGGGTGGTGGAGTGAGCAGGGCCTTCTGGCATGCCAAGGCCAAGTGGGATTGATTTAAGCCTGGTTTAAAGCTATTTAAGAGCAACGGCACTTGCTAGCTGTATGGTGCTATAAATGCCGTGCCTAGATGCGGTGGTGTAGCAGGACCGGTGTGCTCTGCAGCAATGCAGCCCCTTGACCCTGCGACGCTACCGATATTTTGGTGCTGCTCTACCCCCCTCCCATCACCCAGAGATGTGCGATGCCGCAAACACCCACTCCTTTAGCAATAAAAATAAGCTTAGCCTTTCTGTCTGCTGGGAAAAGCTTGGGAAGACAATCAAAGCCCTCCGGGCCTTCCCTGGGGAAGGGAAGCACATGAGACCATAAATAAATAAAATCATCATCACCACCACCATCTCGTGATTTCGCGCCTTGTGACGTGGGATCAGCAGGGCTGGGGTTAGCACGGCGCAGGAGGGCTGCTTTTCGACACTCCAGGTTGGCAAGTTTGGGAAGGGAAGGAGAAGGGATGCAGCAAAGACCCATCCTCAGGAGTGTGTGGCTGGGGGTCGTCCTGCACCAGCACAGACTGCTTTTGGGGAGGAATAATCACGCACGTGCCATAAATGGGTCAAATCGGCCTCCCCGGGAGCGGGAAGGGTTAGGCAATAAGCTACGCTGGCTGAAAAGCCCTGCTAGGAACGGGAATGGCCAACGATGGGAAGCAGGACCTGCTGGGCTCTTTGGGGGGATAAAGGCAGGGAGGGGTTGCCCGGCTGCTCCTGGGGTTTCCTGCAACACCGGCATTTCCATCCCCCAGCCTTCTCCAACTCCCCACCGTCCCCTTGGAGAAAAAAAACTGGTTTTTTTTCCCCTGGTTCCCCGCTCCCCACAGATGCCCCACGTGCTCCAGCCCAGCCCTCCGGCAGCCGGCAATGCCCGCTGAGCCCAGGGGCGAGCCACAGCTCTCTCCTGCCCCCGTGACTCATGCCCAGGTGCCATCTCGCTCCCTCGGCAGGTGACAGGGCATTGTCGTGCCTTGCCCTTGACAATCAGCCACGCTGGTGCTGAGTCAGCCAGCGGAGCAGGATACGCTCTCCTGGACTTCCCGAAGGAGCACTCGGGGCTCACCCCAAGACAAGCCCGAGCTCCCCGCCGGCACAGTGGGGGTTTGGAGACCACGTCCCCATCCGAGGGGACGTCCCAGCATGTCCCAGGCAAGGCAAAACCGGGCTCTCATCATCGTCAACACCGATTTCTGCAGCAGCGACAGCGATGGGGCATTCGGGACCCGGAGAGGAGCCAAGAGAGAAGCGGAGAAACTTTCCAAGACACTCTCACGCCTCAACTACAAGGTGAAGCTGATGCATAACAAGACAGCCAAGGAAATAGAGGACCTTTACCAGGAAGGTACGCAACCCTGCCACCCCTAAACCCCCTCCTCGTCTGCCCCCCAGCCCAGCTCCCTCCCATTTCCCACCCTTCAGACCGAGTCGGTGCCCGAAGGCATCGGTGTGGCCATGCCGTTGCAGAGTGCTGCTGCGAGCACGGGGAGTACTTTGTGAGCATCATCTCCAGCCACGGAAAGGAGGGCGTCATATTCGGTTATGACTCGGAGCCGGTTAAGCTGACCCGGATTTTCCAGATTTTATCCTCAGAAAAGTGCCCGGTGCTCAGTAAAATACCCAAAATCTTCTTTATCCAGGTAACAGCCGCCAGATGATAACCTCATCCCTTTTTTGCTAAGTTTGTACAGAATTAGACCGGCAAAAACACGAGGCTTAAGGTTGCTGCCGGTGTAAGCCTGTTTGAATTGTAGATTTTGCTACATCCACGAGAGCTCGATCCTTTCATCACTCCCCAGCTTCCCACCACACCTCTCTCATCCCTCTTTTTTCATGCTTTCACCAATTTTGAGGTTTCTTTGCTCACTGAAAACACTCCTCTCCCAGCCTGTTGACACCCATACACATGTTCCTTCTTGGGAAACAGCCCCAGTCTTTTCCCAGTGTCTCCAGACAGGAACATTTCTCCCGGTGGTTTGCGCTTGGGCTGAAACCAAATTGTTTGCCATGATATGTGACATTACGGGGATCAAATATTCCTCCTGGACACCACTGGGATATAGATGAATTGGTAAAACCTGCCTTCAGATCCCATCACCGTCACATTTGGGCACAGCGAACTCCTGGGGTAGGGCTGGGAGAAGCCCAGTTGTGAAGTGGTGATGCATCAGGGGGGAAAAAAAAAAAATTTAAGCCCACAGCTGGATCCCAAGCAGTGAAGCAAGGGCAGCATGAACGTGCTCTTGCAGGAAAGGAGCCCTGGAAGCATGTTTTAATGCTGAGCCGACAGGGAGGATCAGACCACTGAGCAAACAAATAATCCAGCAACTGGACGGATACCAGCAGATAACGTGAGCTCTGCAACCATTATGCAAATATACAGAAAACTTTTCACCAGAAAGCAAGTATAAATCACTCACGGCGTTCCATTTCCTTCTGGTAAAAGGCTTGGCCGCTGTTCCGGGAGCGGTGACAGCTGGGGATCTCTCTCAGGCCAACAAACCCAGAGGCTGCTCTGTGCACCTCGATCAGCAGGCAAAGCTCGTCCTCGCAGAGCAAACGCCGCAGGGCTGAGGGTGCCAGAGCCTGGGCTGCGTCCCCTCGGCATCACCACGGCTCTCAGCAGCCTCTGTCCACCTCTCCGGGCTGTTCAGCACCAGGGTGTTGCAACCCCTTCACAGGCATCTCTGTGGGCCGCGTCCCGAGCGAGAATTTACTGCTGGCATTTGGCAGGGAGTTTGGATGGGGAGAGGTGAGGGGACGCTCCGATCTCCCTTAATCCTGGGACACGTCAACCGCTGCCGCTCGGTCTGGTCCCAACCGACACGTTCCGGCAGAGGTGGCTCCGGGTAGGGTGAAACGTGCCCTTGCAGCAGCCTCAGCCGCCCCAGTGCCCCTCCAACGCCTTCCAACACCAGCCCGGTGCTCCGTCCCTGCAAGAAAGACCAAACCACACAGAATAAAGGACCGTGCAGGTGCCTGCGGGCTGTGCTCCAAGGGGAATCTCCACCAGCCCTTTCCCAAAGGACTTTTGCATTTCCAGGTGTATTTCTGGGTTTGCAGGTGCAGCACCACATTTACCGCAGAGGGGTAAATGCAAAGAGAAAGGGAACCAGGCTCGTGAGAAGTGTGCAGGGAAGAGAGGAGGGAGCCCCGTCCCCAGGCTGGTTGGGAGGAGAGGCTTGGCCAAGCAACGGATGAGAAGGGAAGAGGATGGAGAGGGAGAGGAATCCTGGGGCTGTAGGACTTGGGGAACGGGAGCTGCTCTGCACCACAGGGCGGGTTGCAGGCTCAGCTTACAGGAGGTTCGGGTCCACAGGGAGCCCCCAAAGACCCCAGAAGTTTTAGGCTCACCCCAGGGAGAGTGGGAGCAGGGAGAAGCTCGTGACAGCCGTTCTGCCCGCAGGCTTGCCGGGGGCAAGAATTCGACCGGGGGGTGGTTGTGGAGTGTGACAGCAGGGCCCCTGAGCCAGACTGCCTCTCGGACTACGTCTCCATCCCTCCCCAAACCGTCGTGATGTTCGCCTGCAGCCCAGGTAAGGGACAGCCCCCTCCAGTGACATTTCTCTCAAAAACCCCACCAGCACGGGGCCGTGGCACAGCCAACATCGTTCTCCTTCCTTTGCACTCCGCAGGCTACGTGGCCTTCCTCAACATCTTCGGATCCATGTTCCTCCAGGCCCTGCTCAAGGTCCTGGAGGGAGAGGAACGTCACCTGGCCCTCAACCGCCTCATGACCCGCATTAACTGGCACGTGGCCTTTTGCTGCCAGGCCAGGGGCACCTACGAGGGATGCAAAGAGATGCCCTGCTTCGTCACCAACCTGCTGCAGGAGGTCTTCCCCTTCTCCGCACCCATCGTGGAGGCAGCGGACGGTGTTTGAGAGCAGCCAGCTCTGCAGAAAAGCCTGAGGGGCCAAGAGCAGCAGCTTGGTTGCAAGAAGTTCCCCATCACGCATGGAGAAAACAGGACAAGTTACAAGAAAACTAACAGAAAATCCCTCAGGAAAGGTGAGCG